CTGCTTGGCTTCTGGTTTTCACAGAATCCCTGACTTCTTGCCCGATGGGCTGCCAAACAGCTGGAAAGCCAGGTCTCCAGGAGCTCCTAAGCTTTTTGGCTTCTTATGGTCTCAATGTCTCAGGCAGCTGCTTTGCATGCAACTTAGGACCTGAGGCTCCCCAATGAAGGAGATATGGGTTATGCTCTTAGCTTCCCTTTGCTTCCCAGCTTCCAGGTTATGTGTTTTACAGGAACTGGACTCCTATATTTGTAGGCATTAAGGACCTCAGGGCAATTTATGGCAGTCCATTCAGGATCTCTAGGGTAACATATCTATAGGAGGCCCAAACTCCTCATGATGGTTGGTTCACTACACTTCTAGGCAGCCTGTGTCAAGAGTCATTGGATAGGCTGGTTCTGCATGCACCTTGGCAAGCATGGCAGTCAGCTATGGATTCACCAAGTCAGGTCTAACTTCCTGGGCTACCTAAATCTCCAAGGACCCTGGTGCTCTGGAAGGCCTGAGGAGCAAACAAAAAATTCCTTTTTGTCTCTCTCATAGTACTCTCTTGAAGTTTAGTTCATAGCAAATGCTTAAAAGTTGGAAAGTCTATCAGGGATATCAGGGATTAAAAACTGCATAAAAGTGAGATCAAATATAGAGAAGTAGGTATGATTTATGATAAAAATGATAATGTCTAGAGAAAACAAATAGGAAAATGGAAAGAGCAGTAAGTCTGAACTGCCAAGGTTTCTGTATAGAATTGCAAAAAGCATAGCAAGGAAAACAAAGAAACTGGAAAATGCTGTACATACTCAAGCAGGGAATTTGACATTATAGGTTTAACCAAAGAATGGTAAGTAAACAAAAATGTATTGGTACTACTTAAGTAAAATTTTTAAAATATAAAACAAAAGAACAACTGTGCATTATGGGGCATGACTGATCTTTATATACTACAGTTTTAAACTAGTAAAATGTGTAAACAAAGCATCTTAATTGATTTAAAACAGCAAATAATTTTATTTGTTAAATATTGGAAGAATTTCCAAGTTCAACTACCTTTCTTTGTTACTTTTAGTAAAGAAAATGTTCTCTGTGGTTTTATACATATGGTTACATTAAAATTTCCATAACAAGCAAAATCTATGTAAGAATCCTAAATAGCATGGGTCAGCAGCAGCATATTTTCCACCCACAGGTTAACTCCAGACTGCTGGCTCCAGCAGAGGTCACCTCCTCAGCACATAATACTTTTGCAAGAGCGAAGGGTACTTGACCTTCACACATACCCATCTCATGACCCTTCCCTCTTAAAACTGATTTAGTTTTGATTTGCGTTTTTTTTGTGTCAGCATGGACATTCTCTTTCCCCATATATAGGAAATACACAGGCAACTTTAGATGGCTAGTCATCCTTCATCACACCCATGAAATTCCACTGCAGAGCTGAAAGGGATGCAATGACTTTGCGGGAGAAAAATCACGCTTTATCAGAAAAGTGTGAGATGTCATTTTACAAGAACATTTCAAGAAAATAGAGTAACTTTCCCCCTCTCTTCCCTCAAATGTCCAGACTCAAACTGTTTACTTATTTTGACAGACTTTGTACATAGCCTTCATAGTTGTAGCTATAACAAAGGCTAAAACTGAAACTTTGAAAGTTGAAAGCTGATACACACGCACAGATAAAGGATAGAAGAAAGGATGAGGCCTGACATTACCATTCCTACTCTAATGTTTGCACACAAAACTCTACTAAATATGCAGACAGAAAACAACCTCTGTAACTTTTTTTTTTTTTTAAATTTCAAGACATACTATTTAAAGGTTACTGTGTGAGGAAATAGGTATTTTCATACAAACTCACACTGGCAGTGTTCCTGTTATTGGCACAATGCCTTTGGATGAATTTTATAATAGCCCAAATAACATCTTTGTAGAGTTTCTCTAAATTTTTCTGTTTGGGCCGATGTACATTGGGAGAACACTATAAATACTGTTTTTCAAAAAAGCATCATAACCAAATATTGACGTTCCAACATCAACAGAGTTGAGTAGACTTTTCTTAGCCATTTTTCATAATCATTTGTGTTTCTTGGATGGTGCGCTTACACTTTGTCATTACCAACGTGCCTGCAGTAGTAACTTTTCCTTTTGGAGGTAAGGAGCTAGTTAATAAGAATCTGCTTCCATTAAGGTAATTCCTTTGAATACATTACATTCCTGTCTCTTTAAGTCTTATATTTTAAAGAAATGTATGAACTAATTTATCCAAAATCGTAAGATATTTGTCTAAGACTCACAAGTAGCACTCACAGGTGCTATGCATACTTTCTCAGGAGAGTTTTACCACCCAAGTTATATCACTGCCAGCTTACCTGTAAGATCTTCACTCTACAAGAAATTCTTATGGATACAAATATTTAGAACTAATGGTGACGTACAGAAGTGATGACCGATACCAAATCAATATTACGGCTGTCAGACCTGTAACAGTTTATGTACTACAGTGTACAATTTATATCCTCTATTTAAAAACTCTTAGATATGGCATGGACCAAGTATCACTGACCTACATCATATTGCTCTGACAATATCACTTAGCTGTATCTTACTGATAAAATTCTATTCTATGGGAAGTACTCTGAACCAGCTACCATAATCTAACTGTCGACATACATAATCTAGGGTTACGGGAACTTGGATTCTGCTCCCTTTGCAATTAACCTCCTGACTAACAGCAAGCAAACCAGTTAGTCCCAAAAGCTCAAAACTGGCTAGCACCTAAACATCTTGAGAATTCAAGGCTTGGCCTTTTGTGACTCTTATGCGCCTAATGGTAAAACAGAAATGGTAGACTTTCCATACTTAGATTATGAGGAGAGTGGATTGCATGAGAGATAATCATGTACTCACACACTATGACAATAACAGCCCTATAAGTATGATAGATTAGCTTCTAAGATTTTATAAATAAAATTTAAAATAACCTTTAAGAACATTACAGAAAATGTCTGTGCAGAAAAATGGATGCTGCAGTACATTGTTATAAAAATTTGTTTCTGATACTATTAACAAGTTCTATTTCATCTATGAACCTCCACACTACAGAAGAGAACCACTACAGCTTCTACAAAAGAACAGAAAAAGAAAACAAATCCTGATTCCAAGCTCACAGCTATTTGAAACATGGTTTGCAGTCCCAAGCACAGGCTTGGAAAAGCCAGAATGCACATAACCCTTTTAAAGTCATATACTTATTACTGCTTTTGAATCAAGCACTGCATAAACCAAACTGTGCTTCTTAGAAGATCATGTAAATTGTTGAATATTATTAACTTTGAATAAAAACATCAAAATTTTGTTCAGATAGACATAGTTACTGTACTTCCACAGTGTGGCTATAATTGCTGCTTTATACATATTTCTTTCCATTCAGTGTCAGAGGAAAGGGTATTATTGGTAGGTTTGTTTCAGTGTGCCACTCTGCCTCAGTCTCACACAAAGAACTCTTTGTGGGGTCACAGATTAGCATTTGGGCAGGCAGCCAAGAGAGATGAAAGGAGGATGGCTACACTAAGGATGTACATAGCTTACACTCATCAAATACCCAGGGGAAAAAAAACAAGAAAAAAATCCATGTAGTCTATAATTTCAGTAGCTGCCATCAATCCCCTTAGTTTCTGAATCTTTTAGTGGAAGCTCTAGCAATGTGGAGTTCTACTCTGGCACTACAGGTTGCAGAGTCTTACACATAATAAGAATTACCCCAGTTCTGAGATAAAGTAGTATTTTAACATTCAGTTATAGCAATATTGTTCAAGAGAGAGGCATGTATAGTCGTATCTTGACAGATGAGACATGTATACACACCATTATTAGGTAACAAAAAACTTTATTATACTAGAGTGTATATGTTTCAAAAAAAGATGGAATGATAATTCAGAATAACCAGTACGCTTGAAAAATGGCAAGCAAGCTGCCATTGTAGAAATCATTGTGAAGAAACAGAAAATGCTTAAGTTATAAAAATCAAGATCAAATGTTCTCACAATACTTTCATCCATATATCTGTATCTACATCCATCCATCTATATAAATTAGTAGCAACCATACAGTGCTCAGTTTCAAAAAGGAAACACTACCTGCAAAGGACGCTAAGGATATCTAGCACTTTGAAGGAATTTCCGTTCTTTACATAGTCAGGATCTCAAATGATATGTAGAAGGATATATATTTGTGGTACAGTAGATAGAAGATACAAAAGCTGCATTAAATATGGTGGTAAATAGAAATGGAATATATTACTGTACAAGGATTAAGGATAAAAGTCTACATAGTATTCCAGGAAACTTCTAATGGGAAACAAAACCGTCCCCATTTATTTTACCAGAGGTCAGTGGTAAGAATTCACTGAAGATGACTTACAGCTTAAACTCACCATTTTATCTCTATTTGGAAACTGACATGAAATTAATGAATAGCTCAGTCTTCTGTGTACAACTGACCTGCACAACAACCACTATTCACAACTGGCACTTTTTGTTGGCAGTCTGAGCAGAAAATCTAAGGATTACATTGGCACAGAGTCTGAAATATGCTCTGAAACCAAATGATGGTCTCTTGAGAACATAGCTGAAGTACCTCATAGTGGAGAACAACTACAACTACCTGTGCTATTCAAAGCCTGTGAGTAGAAGCTTTCTGTTTTCAGCATTGTCAGATTTTCAGCATGCTTTATTTGGGAACAGGAAGTTTAGGTCCTGATAAGTTATTAAAATATATTTTCCAAATACAGTAAGCACTGTAAAGGCAAAACAGAATGTATAATGAGTGCTAGATGGAGGACTATTCACTTTTGAAAAGTGAATACTTTAACTGTTTTAAGCAGTTAAGAGAATGAAATAAAGAGAGCGTAAGTAGCAAACAGTTAAGTATTGCTGGAAATCATCCAAATATAAAAATTATATGTGAGTATATATGTAACAAAACTGTTACTTTAAATATTTTCTTACCTTAGCATTTTCAATGCAAGGACAAATAGCCCAAGCTGCACTTGCTTGAACGTCTGGATTAGGATTTTTCAACAATGACCATAACAAACGAACTCCATCTAGACGGTCAATTATCCTATTGCAGAAACAGACCAAAAAAAAGAGATAATTAATTATGGAGTAGACAATGTTAAATTTTAGATTGTATCAGTTTGTTTGGAACACTGCTTTAATAAATATTGGTATGATTTTCTTTAATATACTGTTTTGCTTCATGTAAGTGCTCATATTTAATTGTCAGCTGATCGCCATCAGCATAGTCAGTAAACATTGCTTACTATAGCAGATGGGTGTGAACAAATGATGTAAAGTGCTGTTAACTTTTTTCTCATTCAAAATCATTCAAAATGCTTATAGAAGATAAAGTAAAATAAACTACATTATAACCAGAACTCATATAAACGTGAAAACAGGCATGTGACTTTTTAATGATCTGCATGCAAAGCGAAATCTGAATTCAAGCATACTGGCTTCTTTCATATAGTAACAAATACTTTCCAAAACAAATATTTATGCCCAAAACGATGTACTTAACTTTTTATTCAGCCTATGCTTAATGTATTTACCTTGCTCTATGACATATTTTAAAATACTATGTTTCTAATCTAGCATTAGAAATTAAAATGGTCACACCACAGTGCATCCTTTGTTGAGCATGAATAACGTGTAACTTGTTTCCCATGTGTTCCTTACCAACGAGACTAACACTGAACACTATGTTGCAATTACTTAAACACACTGTAATCAAAGTATCTTCGTGACTAGCTGAAAACTGAATTATCATCAGAATCATCTCTACACCATCTGTGTTATGTTTACATATCAATCAGGCTTGGGGATCATAACTTCACATTAGGGTCCAGTGAATACCTTAAATGGAAAGGAAGGTCAAACAAAACTTAATAGCCTTTACAAACATGCTTTTTTTTCCAAAAGATATGTTAAACCCAAAGCAGATGATCTGAAGATAAAGAAAAGCAAATATACCTTCATTTTCTAACCTCAAAAGTAAAAATTCAATTGTATAAAATCAGTCTACATCTTCACTTGTAAATGCAAGAGAAATTAAAATACAGATTGTGCTTAAAAACATCATATAAAACATCTCATTTGTGTTCATGATATATAGGTTTGCCATGAAATTTTTAAACTAATTATAAAATCAGCTTTGTATGTAATCCTACCATCATTTGAAGCAGAAAAAATAATTAAGGACACAAACTCTGTCTAAAATAGCCAAGGATTTTATTCATAACGCTTGTATGCAAACTGGTTAAACAACCATGTTTTTCAAAGTAACATTTTTTTGCACAAAGCTATGGTAGAGATAGTACACATTATTTAAGATATGTTAATTTTAATACAGCTTATTTTACATACTCAGCTCCAAATCAACTGCAAGAGGATCATCATTCAAAGGACAAATTCAGAAATCTTAATGCATCAAAATAAAATAGCATGATCACAAACTACACAATTACATATATATGTTCAACAAAGTAAGGATGACAAGTAAAATCTTCAAAACAAGCTTTTAAATCCCTCCAAACTCCCAACACTTTTAAGCAATTTTAACATTACTTCCCTGTCATTTCAGAAAGCACAAGGAATTTTTTCTTAAATTGGAATTAATTAAAAAAGAACCCATGAATCTTTCTTCTAGTCAAGCAGAGTACTGACCATTTACCAACATGAGCTACTTCCTCCCAAGAGGGGCTAAATATAAATGACCCAGCTCCAACCAGTATATAAAAATCAAGAGATAGAAGCCAAACACTGAGCTCAGCTTTTCCCACCACACTTAAAAAAACAACCTCTACGCTGATTTATCTTTCCTTTCTATTTTTTTGAAAGCTTCCTTTTCAATTTAAAGTTTACTTTCATTTTCTTTTCAGTTTTCTTGTCTTCTCTTCAGCTTTTCAAGGTAAACTAGCCTCACTCTGTGGTTCATTTTCTAAAGAAGAGTTTTGCCTTTTGCTTGAAGACCAGAAGGACCAGTTGTCTTACACCCAACAGAACAGCTCAGAATATCTGAAAGTGTAGTCCTCTGTCCATTCAACATGTATAAAATCAAACTAAAAAACATTACAGACAAAACAAAAAATCTCCAAAGTACATTCTTCATCACCGATTACTGCTTTCTCTCAATTACACCAGATTAACTCAAATGAAAAGAACTCTACATACCAGAACAATGCTCTTAAATTCTCATACTGGAAGAATTATCATTGTGTAATCACCATACAAGCACAAACCCTTTTATTTTCATCTTGCTGAGAACGTATATTTACCAATTAAAGAAAGCATTGCTAAACAAATGACTAATCCTTTCTCAGTTCAATTTTTTATCTTTCTATGGTTTCGCTGTACAATGTAGCAGATGAAGAAACTGGGTGATAAACGAACATATCTGCTATAAAAGCAAAGGGAACACTAAAATAAATGGCCCTGAAAAATGTTCCCTCTATAAAAGTGCTTAGACATTAGTTTCCTTTCTATGTGAAAATTCCTTTTCAAAGTGGACAAAAATAGAGTTTCTTTACAAATAAGCAAAGAAAGAGATGGGAAATCAGACCTGTAATCTTGAAAATTTCAGCTCTGATGGCATTACACTAAACAATATTCTGATTTGCTTCTGTATATAGATTTTGTATCTAATTTTCTTCCCAAAATTTATTAGAACATTATTAGCAGGATGCTGTAATAAAGGTACTTACCACAATAAATACAAGCAAACATACCTTAAAATTTACTTTGGTTGGCATTCAATTCTGTATTCATCCATAGCTAGTACATTAGTCACTCTGTGGTTACAGTCACTTAAATGACATAATAATTTGTTGACATTATGATGATAAAATTAAACTACAGTTAAACCGGTATTAACCACTCACAGGATGTTAAAGGACAGTTCTTTTAATAAAGATGCAGAACATTTCCTTTGAAAGCTGAAGGGAATCCCATAAAAGCTGAAATAATTTATTTAGTTGCTATCAAAACTTAATACTTTAAAGTTCAAATATTTAACTGCTTTATAGAATAGCTGAACTACATGTATGTAATGTATCTAATGTATAGAACACTATTAATAGTCAAAATCTTAATCTTAATCTAGTCACCTAAAGTAGAAAAATTACCTTTATTATAGGTAATTGCCTTCTGGTGCTTCACTATAAGTACATAACAATATATAAATATGCAGAGTTCAGAAGCAAGAGCCCAGATTCTGAACTATTGTTGCTCTATACTTTAACATAGCAGAGGCATCTCACAATAAACCTGGACCAAGATGGCCAGCGGCCACCTCTTCTGATTCAAAGCTCTATGCCACATTTTAGAACAAGGTGTAAATTATTCTGCTCCTTAAAATAACCAAAAGTAGTTGTATTGGCAGTTGGAAATAGCTGTAGTGAAGAGGCCCTCCTGTCAGGCACTCCTGTGCTGGCCAGACATGATTAGAGCAGAGATGAAGGGGTATGCAGCTGACATCACTCCTACAAAAAGGCCAACTGCAAGGTGTATGAGCAAAACATCTTCCTGGTTCCCACACAGAACAGCTGACATATGGTGTATATAGAATGTGTCTTATGGGCAAATCATTTTAATGCAATTAAATACATTCAGAGATTACTGGAGTGTCTAGGACAGCCTCTGGGAAATCTCAGGTTACAGTGAATTGGTGTTTGCTATTTGACCAGTGCAGATAATTTAACAAGATCATTTTTTTTTAATGACTTTTGTTGGCTGTTTACAATCAACAGTTGTTTAATAAAGACTTTTCACATTATTTCATTTAAAAACCTTGATATCATGACATCACTGAACATCATGAGATGTCTGTGCAAGATGTGGGTTACAATTCTAGAAATTTCCTTTAGGATTTTTTTATATATCTGAAACGAGCAAAGCTGCTAATCTGAAATAGTACTTCTCTTTCAAATTCAAACTTAATATTGAACATTTCCAGTAGAAACTTCAACATGTATTGCTTAAACACACATGCATACACACAGCCTAGACATCTGTTTGTCATATCTATCATCTTTTTCTGTTAGTGTTGTTTGCCAGAACTTTTGAGAAGTCTAGTTTAATTGCCTGCCAATTTAGACCACAAATACAAATGTAAACAAAGAAAGTTATACTGACTCTGTATTGTGCTCACTGGTAAGATTACAGGGTTTAATTCTGGCAGAATGTAATCTTGTCTTTTTTGAAACCACAATTTAGCATGTTGCTTAAAACTTTCACTAGTTGCTGTGGACTGCTTTGATAAATAGTATTATATACCAATGACTCAAACTTCATCTATTTGGCTAATATAATTGTACATTTTAGTTTATAAGGTTCTAAACCCTCCGTTTTGAATGCTAGAGATTAATTCTATAGGTTTTCAAATGAAAAGGGCAAATGAAAATCTAGTGGCAGTTAAAGAATATGCACTAGTCCTCTGTTTTTAGTAACAGAAAAAGAGTGACTTGTAAAAAGTTCCCCCAAAAGACAAATGTACATAAAAGATGTGTGGCGGCATCTCTGTCAGTGGCCATGCAGCAGACTGAGTATGGAGAACAGCTCCATGTTGTCCACATAATAGCAAGGAAGTTCAGTCACATAGTTTTTTTAAGAAAAGTCAACTTATTTTTTTGCTGTGAGAGAGGCTGGCTGCTATTCTTTATTTTACAAAGCTCAATAGAGCCAATAAGAATCACTGAATTTCTTGAAGTTGCCTTAAAGTAAAGGCTTGATGCAGAAAAGTAAGACTATTGTACCTTCCGCTCAGTAGTTGTAGAAGTTAAAGTGTCAGCTATGAAACGTGACAGAGATAAAATATATAAAAGACATACAGAAGCTGTAGATTCACCTATGCCAATCCACTAGCCTTCTCTCTTTGTCAGTGCAGGTTTCCTCCATGGAACATGTGATAAATATACAGTATTTCCCTCAGAACTTAACTGTACTGTTTCATAGAACACTCAGGTTTTTATTTCTTATATTAATCCCACCCTCTTCAGTACACAACCTCAAATTATTCACAGAAACTACGTGAGCTCCACTTGGTCTGTATGGTTTCCACATATCTACTGCTTCAAGTAGAACCACATTCAAAATAGGAGACTGCTCAACTGAATATTTAGTCTTTAATCCACACTTTGTTAACAGCTAATGAAATGTAAGAATATATCTGAAAAATTCTCAATCCTTATGAGGGCTTGATACTCCCTTTAAATTTTCCCACTTTGTTCTGGGTTTCTAGTACATATGAAGTCAGTGATAGCATAATCCAGAAAAATCATCATAGTTTTCAGAATTTCTGTAGTGCCAGACTAAAACAGTAACTCTTTAAACAGTGCTTGTCTGTACCACATGACAAAGAAAACAAGCCTTAAGACCTGCCAGCCAAATTTGCCAGGAGAAAAGCTAATAGTAGAGTACAACTGATCTCCTAGAACCTGTCAAGCCATTCTGAGGAATAAGTGATTATGAAATAAGGAATGTAATAGGGACCCAGACAGATGAACCAGGAAGACCAGAAACAGCTAGGTATCAAACTGCAATAGGAAGTTCTCATCACCTGTATATACTTACAGGCTACAAGTGGCTTTGCTTTGCTTCTTTCTAGAACACAATCTTGGCACACGTATTGAGTTTGCGTGGCAAGATTTTGGTAGTGGGGGGGCTACAGGGGTGGCTTCTGTGAGAAGCTGCCAGAAGCTTTCCCCATGTCCAACAGAGCCAATGCCAGCCAGGTCCAAGACAGACCCACCACTGGCCAAGGCTGAGCCCAGCAGTGATGGTGGTAGTGCCTCTGGGATAACATACTTAAGAACAGAAAAAAAAGTTGCGCAACTGCAGCCAGAGAGAGGAGTGAGAATATGTGAGCAGAACAACTCTGCAGACACCAAGGCCAGTGAAGAAGGACAGGGAGGAGGTGCTCCAGGTACCAGAGCAGAGATTCCCCTGCAGCCCCTGGTGCAGCCCCTGGTGAGGCAGCTGTGCCCCTGCACCCATGGAGGCACACGGGGGAGCAGAGATCCACCTGCACCCGGGGAGGAGCCCACGCCGCAGCAGGGGGATGTGCCCAAAGGAGGCTGTGACCCCGTGGGAAGCCCGTGCTGGAGCAGGCTCCTGGCAGGACCTGTGGACCCATGGAGAGAGAGGAGCCCAGGCTGGAGCAGGTTTGCTGGCAGGGCTTGTGACCCCGTGGGGGACCCACGCTGGAGCAGGCTGCTCCTGAAGGGCTGCACCCCGTGGGAGGGACCCACGCTGGAGCAGTTCGTGAAGAACTGTAGCCTGTGGGAAGGACCCACATTGGAGAAGTTCATGGAGGACTGTCTCCCGTGGGAGGGATCCCATGGTGGAGCAGGGTAAGAGTGTGAGGAGTCCTCCCCTGAGGAGGAAGGAGCGGCAGAGAGTGTGTGATGAACTCACCGCAACCCCCGTTCCCCATCCCCTGTGCTTCTCAGGGGGAGGAGGTAGAGAAAATCAGGAATGAAGTTAAGCCCAGGAAGAAAGAAGGGTGGGAGGAAGCTGTTTTAAGATTTGGTTTTATTTCTCATTACTCTACTCTGATTTGATTGATAATAAATTAAACTGATATCCCCAGCTCAAGTCTTTTTTCCTGTGATGGTAACTGCTGAGTGATCTTCCTGTCCTTATCTCAATCCACGAGCCTTTCGTTATACTTTCTCTCCCCTGTGCAGCTAAAGAGGGGAGTAATAGAGTGGGCTGGTGGGCAGCTGGCCCCCAGCCAGGTCAACACACTACAGCACATCTCCACATCCTTGTTAAGATGTGTCCTTTTGGTTAAGAACTTCAGAAAACGTTTACAGAAGGAGAATGAACTCCACAGTTGTTTCTAACAAGACTACTTATTGGTTTAGTCCCACATTCTGTAAATGGAACAAAATGATGATACAGACTATGTATCCTTCATGTCTTTGGTGACTTACTCTTCCCAAAAAGGAGAGCAGTTTTGATGAGGAGCTACAATTTCAATTCCTGCTCTACTGGTCTGAGAGGAGGAGAAGGGAGAGGAATGGATGTCCCTCTTTTTTTGGGGGTGGGGGTGGGGGTTGTAATCTAATATCTTAACTCTGTGAGAAGAAGCAGAGCACTCAACCAAGCAAATCATTTAAACATGTGAGTTGCACTGGTGTCAATGTTTTAACTAAGCATTGTTTTAAGTATTCTGCTGGACTGGTATCAAACTTATCCACACCTGTATGAATCACACCTTGGGAGAAGATAGCAGCATTATCTCTTCTAGTACTAGAAGTCTAAATAGCACAATACATCAGGTACATGTCACAGTCTTGCTAATAATAGTGATTTCTGTGTAATGTTTTTTTTGTACTAGTAAAAAGTATATACTACTCTTGATCTAAGATCTTGCTTACTTGTTAATGTTTTGAAATATTTTTAAAAACATTTTAAAAGTTGAGAACCTTCAGTAGAGAATTTTTTCATATGAACCGAATTTGACATTTGATCCCGTTGTCCACTCTTTACAAACTCCATAAAATTTTTGTCCCAAGCCATCTGTACTCTCTCCTTCTTAAAAACCAAGATGGACTTTGTTCATCACAATTCTAGCAGCAACTTGTGTTATTTTTGGTGCTCATACTGACCACATTCCAGTACGAAACTATCCATACTAGATACTACAAGTGATAGTCCTGAGCACTGGAGTATGTCTGAGGTTTTATAAATATCAATTTATATTTATTGGCATTTAAATTTCTCAATTGATTTACAGTGTTAACTCTGTCAGGTTAATATATTACTCTAAAGGCTGATTTTCAGTGAGATATGTCATGAAAGTGATTTCATTTAAGTATACTTTTATGCTACGTGGCTAACTGTTCATACAACCCATGTTTACAGTTGTGTACCATCTAGCCTTTTGCCACTGGGTGACAGCCAAAGCATGAAAACAAAAGCCCTATTCAGGAAAAGAATTTCCTGCACTGTTATATGAATATCAAGTGAATTATGCAAATCAGAACAGGAGGAGCTTAATAAAACTCTCTTTCTAACCTTTCTTATGTATAAGGAGGGAAATATGCAGAGAATCTTGAGGTAAATATCCCTGTAAGGGAACAGTAAGCACAGTAAATGCCGACCTCAACATTTAACTGGAACACTTAATCATAAAACTCAAGGATCTTTGTAAACTGTACAAATCTACATCACAAAACCAAAGAGAGCAGCAACTCTTTCAGTAAAAACACAGTCTTTTTCTTTGATTTTGCAAAGGAATAAGAGGGTAGAAAAGGATCAAAAAAAAGTCTGAGTTCATAAAAGGAATGATGGAGAGGGACAAAACAGATAAAATATAAATAATGCTCTACTTTAAAAATTTTCAAATTATTCTTCATGACAGTAAATGTGCACATTTCCTTTTAGAATTACTGTCTCTAATTTAGGTTACTATTTATAGAATTATAGAGTCATTTAGGTTGGAAAAGACCTTTAAGATCATCAAGTCCAACCATTAACATAACACTTAAGATTTGAGAACAGATGTAAAAGGAGAAGGCAAAACAGGTACCTACCACACAGCACTTTAAAACAGTGCTCTGTAACTTTTGAATTTTAACTTTAATAAAAATCAATTTACTAAAGGTTTATCTGATTTTCCCCAAAATGTAAAAGCTTTACATTCTACATACTTCCTTAATGTTTGGGGTTTTTTTTAATATATAGCACATTTTACAGTAGGATGTAACTAATCCACACAGCCCTGTGGAAAACAAAAAGCAAAATATCCTTTTAAGTCAGATTAGAGTTCACTATATTTGTGCCAGAATTACTAAAACAAATTTTTTTCAATATTTAAAATATTATGAATATGAATAGCTTACATCATATTTTCAGGTTCTCTTGCACAAGCTCCCACTGCTTTGGTGACATTCACAAGTAGTGCCTGATCAGTTCTAGTAAGTAACTTCACTAGAGGTGGTATTCCACCACATTTACGGATAATAGTTCGATTTATTGGCTCTTGGCAACATTCTCCCAGTGCTCCAACGATATTTACAAGAACTTCTTCAGGCTGGTCAGTGAGCAGTCCTACCAAAGCTTCTATGGCTTTATATTCCCGAAATCTAAAATACAGAAATAAAATCAAAGTTATTATTTTCAGTATGTTACTGTTATAAGTTTAATTTTATAATTAAAGTATAATTATAATTGAAGTATAATGTTTAATTTCTGTATGTAAATTATCTTGTTGAAGACATCACAATACAGGTAAGCCACTTCAATCAGTTCTTGAAAGTGTGACATACAGCATAATTTCTTACTCTACCTTTTTAAATACATTTCTCTAATTTAGCTATCTAGGAATCTGCAGAGTAGTTTGAGAGTTTTTTAAAAGTTGACATGTGGATGGAACATCTATAAATAGCTGAAAACATACTGGAAGACTGGCAATACTGTGGCATCCTAACTTCCAGTACTTTGTCCTGCCATGTTAACAATAACTAGAGTAGCAGTATATCAGACCCTCTTCCACCTCTCTGGACCACAGAATAACCCTTTCTTTTCACTAAATGTTGGCCTTTAGAGGGTTTGCCCTGACCAGTTCTATACTTAGTTCAGGCCTAATAAATGCTATTTTTCCTAAGGTCAGACCTATAGTTGTAGTCCATTTCTATTGTACTATGTTAGATTCCATTTTGAAAGCAAGTAATAAATTGACAGAAGTTTGAGTTGACTGCTATATTAATACTTCCCTCATTCTTCATAGCACTTTTGGTACTGAAAATCAAAAATACGTTTTTAAAAATCCTGGAGGTCCTATCCTACAAACAGATGATGCATGCTAAACCTCAGAAGTTTATCTTTCAGAACAGGACTTTACTTCTCAGTACTGGGGTTGTCTTCCAAGTTCATTTTGTTCAGAACTTAGAAGATTCTTAACACTTAACAAATACTGTATCTTCCTTTCATACATTTTCTATGATACACCTTGACAATTCCACTCGGTATATCAAGCTATATCTAACCTGTGTATTATCTAATAATTATGCTTTGATTTATACCTTTGTGTAAATAGACATAGTTCTTCCCCTAAAGAGACAATTTCTCTGAGGGTACAGAGTTCTCATTTTGTGCTACCTCCACAGCCCCTAGCTTCTGGAAATGTCTACTTGAGCTACAAATACTCTATATTTTCCAGTAATCAGTTGTACATGTGGCTTTTCTTTCATACTAAAAGAGTTAATCCTTCCAAGCTGGTTTATCAGTATAGCAATTAAAGTAACTGAGAAATGAGAAACTTTCATTTTTCATGATTCAAGCCTTTGCTTAAGGAGCAATCTTCCTGTCTTTGTCCACTATAATTTGGAAGTATACCTATACGTTTTTTCCAAGAGAAAACATCAACGGCATGAAAAAAAGAACAACAAAGCAAGCAAGCAATTTACCCCCCCCCGATTTTCTCTGGCTACTTTATCAGTGTTGCATATCAACTGCTTCACAGATGGAACGATATGAGCTGGCTCTGTGATGGGAAGGCTACGCTCTGACAGAGCTGTTGGCTCAGGCCATCTTGTGTCCAGAAGCAGTATGGCTGCTTGCACACAAACTGGAATCCGAGCTAGTCAGGCCCAGGCACCTGTATCAGCTCATTGCTGAGTCAGCACAACATCTCAGCAACGTACTTCAGGTCTAGGAAATACTGTGGAGTAGTTTGAAGACAATCAAGTGGCACTGCAGGAACCAGCAGGGTTTGTTAGTTCTAGCTTCATGCCAGACTCAAGCGCATCCCTCCAGATCTACTTACGTGTTTTCATATTATCCTCCCTCCCTGTTCTGTAATGTCCTCCCATCTTGAGTTTGGATACAGTTTACTGCTTCAGACTCAGCACTACGTAATACATGAATTCAGCTCAAATCTGGAGCTGCGCCTGGCTAGTAACCTTCGTGGAGCGTCAAGCACTTGCCAAAGATATGTGAGTAGCCCAGCAAAAATCTGTTTGCATTTGGACAGAATTATTGGCTACAGCTATACCAATAAATAAAACAGGCTACGGCTCATTCTCTAGCCCTGAGGACAAGAAGCACTACATAGCATCCATATGGCTAAAATCTCTTATCCTCACAATTCAGGGTGGCCTCACCCATTCTGCCTGATGGAAACAATCTGTTGCCTGCACTGTTCCCAAGGAGTGTCTGGGCATTGTCTGGGAGAGCGCTTGCTGGCACAGGCCAAAGTGTGTAAGGGACTGTGCTAGCAGTTAAACAGTATGGATAATCATAGCAGTGCCTGAACCCTGAGAGGTTTGGCCCTGTTTAGTTTACTAGTATAGAGCGACCCATTCAGTCCATCTCATCGCTGACTGATCCAGAACCAGGATGCCTCTGTGCAGATATCCAAAGCCCACAGGAAAGAAGGACATACCCCTCTGAAAAGCAAGGTTACTGTGCAATCAAGAATGCAAAAACCAGTAGGACAACACTAAAGTATGTAAAGACCATGGCTCTGTATACCAACAGTTTGGGAACTCGTTGAGGACAGTAAAAAGCCAGACTGTAAACCCTTATTACTGAAATTCTTTCTGATTTTTATCCAGCAGTTATCTCTCATATCTGCTTGTCCAGCAAAGTACACTAGAATTAGGGCTGCAGGAAGAGGTTACCTCTTACTGACACTCCTTCCAGCCTATGAATCTTACATTCCTCTGTACAGAGCAGCATAACTTCCGCAGGAACCCTAGCGCATACTCCAACGCAGCAGGATTTTTTTTGAGGTAAGGTGCATGAATCTGATAAATGAATTTTAGATGAGGGGGTGGACTATTCTGAATCATTAAGCTGTTCCATGAAAGGTGGAGGGTGATAACTCCTGCTGTCACATTCTCAGATAGTCACTAGAACCCTGATACCGTGAGGTGGTAGGTACCTATGGTAGGACTCTCATCAGTTAATTCCACTCATTTAGAAGCTGGGTGTCCAGACTAACCTACTTTTCTGAGCCCCTTCTGTAGCCAAGGAGAGAGGCATCCTAGATTCCAGTGTATTTCTAAAGTAGGTGGACCTTATGTGTGTTAGATATCTACCCTAGAATGAGATAATTTGCTCTCTGTCTCTCTCAATGTAAAACATTAAAGCCAAGTGTGCTAACTACTCTCTCGACTCCAGTTTGTAACCTACGGAGAGGAGTGGGGATATCGGATAAGCCCACGTGCCAAAGGTATGTGCTAGTACACCTCCTGACTCAGTGACCTATATCTTAACCATTCTTTAGAGGGACCAATTGTCCCCATTGACTCTTAAGATTCTAGGAACCTAACACTGTATCCACTGTACCCTGATGAGGTCAGGTGGCAATTTTTTAAGTACTATAAAATCTAATTTGAAAGCTCAACTGATTATGAAGTATGGTTTTGAAGAATCATGACATAACAATAGTGTAATAAATGCTTGTAAAATTAAATCGTTACTTTGACACATTTTCTCCACTGATCGCACATTTCCAGATTGCTCCTGTCACAGCTGCTAAAAGTTGTTTGTTTTCAGAGTTACCAAGCAGAACAGATAGTGGTTGTAGACCTCCATGCTGTCTAACCAGGTCACGTGTTTCTTTATCTTCTGCACACTATACAAAAAAATTAATACATTTATCATGTAAAATGTGTAAAATGATGTCTTCAAAAAGCTAGGTGTATTATGTTGTAACTAGTAAAAACTAATACAGAAGAAAACATAAATATTTTATTAAAGTATCTGAATATGCTAACAACTCACTAAGAGTTTTGCACTAATGGATATGCAGCAGTGCTTATACCGTCACATTGTCCACCTTGTGGGCAAACAAACATAAAAAACCCAAAGCAGCTCTTTGCACAGTATGCCCCGCCTCTTTCCATTGGTTACCTGTGCAATATAGGGCTTGCACACAAGAAGAAAAAGCAGGAGCTTAATTACAATATTAAATATGCAGCTAAAATATTCTCATAAGAATTAAGCCAAAGACCATCAAAATTTTTATAAAGTAATTTCTTACACATTAGAGAAATAGTAGAACTAGGAAATATTAAAACTGACGACATGAAAACAAAGGGCTAATCCTGGCTCTGATCTACTGATTATTATAATACCATTACCTTAAATATGGCACTTGCACAATGCATCTGAAGCTCCTCATGGTCACTACTCAGATTTTTCACAAGGTTCTCAATCATTCCTTCTGTCCTTATTGCAAGCCTGTAACTTGGCTAAAAAGATAAACTGCATCTTTTAAATCCTGTATATTAACAGTTAATAACACCAGTCACAATAATAATAATACAGTGTTACAATTCTAAGCTTTGATACAGAGAAGCCTTGTACTTTTAAGCACAAGTCATCTACATTGCCTTGAAAATACTATTGATGTTCTCAAAGTTAATCAAATACATAAATTCTCTGCAGTGCTCTTCAAATCACCTGTAAAACCAGGTGCTGCAATGCCTGTTTTGTAGCCACCTGGCTTAAACAGAATTCAGAATATTCTGAAAGGTGTCCAGCCTTCCTGCTCAGAGCCAAGGAAGAAAAAAATGCTTCAGAATGGGATCAAGAAATACCCACTCATTTCACTGAGAGCCAGCAGCCAAAACTACAGATCTATTCCTAGAACAAGGTTAGAAAAACATGTCCTTAGAATTAAAATTTTTTAGTGATCTTTTCTTCCAAATTTTAACCCACAGGCACTGTAACAAGGGGCCATTATTTAAGAGGGGAAACATCTGTGTAAGAGATGCATTTAGTGTTATTTCCAAATACGGCCAGATAAGAAACCCTCAAAAACTTCACCTTCTCAATACAGACTTACTGAAGCTAAAATCTGCCAGGTTGCTGTCTCATGGACCATGCATAAACCTGTGTATTTCAAGAAGATAATTTTGAAAATAAAGTGGTTTATAATGTAAAACCTTTTGAAAAATCATGTCTTCCTTGTCTTAAATTCACCAAGAGAACTTACGTATATTTTTGACCTTAAGTGCAATGCACCTTAATTTCAAATATGATTCCACAAATTGAGAAATAACCACTCATGTTAGGCAGTGATGGTAAAAAATACTTGTATTCAAATTTAACAATTGAATATACTCACAGTTGTGAAACCTGACAAGGAAACCTGTAGAAAAATCACATATATTCCTTTCTTCTTTTTTCAATTGATCAGACACCATCTTACCCAATTCACAAGGACATTGTAAACCCCACTGCCCTGCACTGCATTGGATCTTCTTGCCACATCTCCACGTTAGCTTTGTAGAATTTAAATGTACTGATTAACCAGAACATAGCATCTTAAATTGCCAAATTTGTCAAGTATGATGAAAAAAATGAGAAAAAAATGAAACTGATTAAGGATTTAATTTCTATATATTTTCTTTCACAAACTGCTCCTAGCCTTTTAAATAAAAAATATGTGATCTTTACTTCATTACAAGCTGTGACCTTATCAAAACCAGTTTGACCACACAAAGCATCTACTTCTTGATGGGATAACTGCCCTGGTTTAAGTGACAGTCAAATGTAATGCTTCCTTTTAGTAGCAAATTGTTTTAACGATTAGAAATAACTTAGCTATATGTGTTTACTTACTTCTGAGGCACATTCTTGTAGTGTCCCCACTACTGGGGTTAAGATGTTTGCACGTGAACATTTGAGCCATCTAGCTAATAACGGAATGCCACCAGCTTTACGGATTGCTTCTTTATTTTTGATGCTTTTGCTGCAGCTCCAGAGTGCCAAAGCCCCACAGCGTGCTATTTCAGTATCTTTTGCTTGATATGGTGTTAGACTGATTGATCCTACTGAAACACATTCCAACAGCCCAACCTAAAAAAAATATTTTTTTAATTATCTACAGAGAAGTTTGATATTATACTGCTTTTTAATGATGACAAACACTACCAGAATAATAATGTATACAACATATGATGTATTTTTTGGACAAAAATATGCATATGACAAGGGTACATATTTCAGTGTCTGCCTACCAGTCTCTTGATTCCTCCATGCTGCCTTACTGTCCTTCGTGCTTCTTTAAATCGAGCAACATTAGCAATTGTTTCAGCTGCCAAACATTTTAGAACTTTATCTGGAGAGTCCAGTATTTTCACCATGATCTGTAAGCCTCCAAGATATGCAATTGCATGTCTGATCAGTGTATTTTGACTAATTTCCTTCAGGATTTTTAATGAACCAATCTAAATAATGGAAGATAACAGAATTTAAATGTTATTTAAGTATACATAAACAGAAAAATTCTTCAAAATGCTGGGTTATCTAGAACATTTTATCTTTTAAATTGAATCAGAAGAAAAGAAGGGAACTGAAAGTCAAAGAAACTAATTTTTTTCTAAAAAATCCTTGAAATCAAGAAAATACAGACATGAGAAAAGAAAGAAATCAATTTTCTTTATACTATATAACTTCAAAAATTGAAAAAATATTCTAATAGAAAAGGCATATTCATTGCTCTATTTGACAAAGCTATTTACCTGACATTTAATTTCTTCTGTATCAAGTAAATTAATTAACACTTCAAGACATCCAGTGTCTCTGATAGCCAGCTGACAGGTTTCTTGAGCCAGATTGAAATCCTTCATTGAACACAATGCGATTACAGTAGCTGTTGGATTACCCCCCTAAAATAAAGCAAATAATTAACAAATGTGTAAAGTGCATTTAATACGAAACTTAATCTCTTCTACTACTACTAGTAAAACTACTAGTAAAGCAGAAACATGTTAGATTGTTTTGATTCTGTGGTGTTAAATAATGCAGACATAGTAAGAAATTGAATAATTGATAAAGTCTGCAAATGGCATATAGAGTGAAGTGAGAGTGAATAGCACAGGTGACAAATTACTAATATGGCTTGCTGTGAATGGACTACTAAATTAGGCAGTCGTGTATGGTGAGTTTTGTATGAGTGTTTGCAGATAGCAAAAGTATACACCGTGAAGATACAGACATTTCAGAGAAGCTATCTGCATTCTTTGCATTGGTGTTCACTCTGGAAGAAACCAGAGATTCCATCTGGAATCTTCCATTGTGGAGGACATTTCAGAGGGTTTTTCTGGAACTGAAGTCACTGTAGAAATTTTTTATAAAAAAACCCCGACATTATGAACAATTACAAATTGCCATTATGAGATAGTATTCAACTGAGTTATAAAGGAAACAGGGTAAAATAGTTGACTCAGTAGAACTGGCATGTATCCTCTTGCTTCAGAGTGCCCCGTTACCAATGTCCTGGGAAACAACAAATGTGATGTCAACTTTGAAAAGAGTTCAAGGGTTATCCAAGGCCTTTTAGCCAAATATCTGTGCTGGACAAATTGGTAGACTGTAATAAAGAACAGAATTAATAGACATCTCTCTAAATATGATATCCTTGCAACAATGTGATATACTTAAGAGTCACTATGGATCTGTTAAGAGAAGTCCTACCTTACAAAACTTACCAAGCTTGTGGCCATGGTGATCTAGGTGATATGCCTAAACGGACTCCACCAGGACTTTGACAAAGTCCTTTCCTGATACCTTTTAAAGAAACTAAGCCACTATATTATAAGAGAAAAGGTCATTTAATGGATTGAAAAGAATGACTAAAAGATAAGAAACTGGGGATAAGAGCAAATAGTCAGTTCAATAAATGGATGTGATTTAGTGGTGTTCCACAGATCTGTGTTGAAGTTGTGCAATTCAACATACTCATAAACACCCTGAGAAATGGAAGGACTAGTTATGTTACAAAGTTTGCTGCTGATGTTATGATTCAGGGTCAGTTGTGATAAAGTGCTAAAGAACTTACTAAGAGGGCAATGAAATAGCAAATGAGAAAATGAGAAATGATGCACATCAGAAAAAACAATCCTAACTCCACAGATAAAATTATAGGTTTTCAGCTGACCATTAAAAATCAGAAAATATATCTTGGGGTTAGCATAGATGGCAATCAAAAAACAAATGGAATATTAGGACTTATTTGGAAAAACCAGTGAACAGACAATGTCACTATACCACTGTATAAATCCATGGTTCACATTCACCTTCAAAACTTCATGCAGTTCTGCAGCCTCAGTTACTACAGCACTGGAAAAGTTTCAGAGAAGAGCAGCAAAGATAATTGTTTTTTTCAGTCTAGAAGAGGGATGCCTGAAGGGATATGATAGATGTCTACAATGTTAGGAATGGCATTGAGTGGGATAGATAGGGATTGACTGTCCAACGTCTCTTTTAATACAGATATAATCTCTTTTAATAATGAGGTATAGTGATATTCAGGTTAAAAAGAAATAAAGGGAGTTGGTTCTTCAAATGAGGCAACAGACTAGTGGAACTAGTTGTGAAAGGATTCTGTGAAAGCTAAAACATTTCATTGAAGGTCAGTAAAACTTAAATATCTCATTCAATTTTCAACTCCCTGAGCTAAAAACAGATGGGGGCTTGGAGAGTATTGGAAAGCTGTGTGTTTGCCCTGTTCTTACTTTGCCCTGGGCATTCATTTATAGTCCTGGGTTTCTTCTGCCTTGGTAGAGTATGAACAGAGTTATGCAGTCAAACTTCCCACACTTGTGGAAATCAGAGGTCAGGACACCTGGAGTGCAAAAGATGAGCTTTAACCACAGAAAACTTCCATTCCGATAATTGTGTCTCCCCTCCTGTTGCAGTCAGGTTATTAGGATACATTGGCTTTTGACGTGCCCAATACAGTTTCTTTTATGTCTAAGTTTAAGGTCATACACTTACAAATAATGAAAACAGGCTATAGCTCAATGTAGGAGTTCTATCCTGGAAACTAGAGCATATAAAAAGACTTGGGATGTTGAATAAGAGTTTGAGATTACAGTGTAACATTTGATTCATGGGATGAATTTTGTGTAAGTGAAAGTACTGTGCAACTACTACTGAAATTCTGTGTCTAATTTTCCTTTTTACAGTTCTAGAAGGAAAGTGAAAATATGGAGATGATTCAGAGAAGAGAAATAAAAATTATTGTAAGCCTAGAAAATAGTTGCATTAAGACAGACATGAGAAGCATTATTCGTTTTATTAAAAAGTAAATTAAGGTATGATTTATTCATAGTGAGTAAATAAATCTATGAGGAAGAGGAATGTGATCAGAGAGCTCTACAGTCTAGCACAGAGGTTTGATAATTTGAAGTTAAAGGTACTAAAATTTAGATGAGGAGTAAAGTGCAAGTTTTCCATTGTGTGGTTAATTATCCTTTGGAAGAAATTACTTAAAGTGATGATAAGTTTTTCAGCAGTGGAATTTTTTCAGTCAAGATTGGATGTTTTTCTAAAAGATAAGTTCTATTTCAGTCACAGCTACTAGACTAAAAGCAAGAAAAAGATCAAAGAATACACCCTGTGGTATGTAGAAAGTTAAACCATGTGATAACAATGGATTCTTTTGAATGTCTAATATAGATTTACTGTTAATCATATCAGGCATGAACCCAGCTGCACAGAAATTAGGAGGGCTGAGCTACCATGTAGCTGCAACAGAAGCTGGAGTGCATGAGCAATGCCAACTGGTGCTAATGTGGAAGTTACAACTTAGAGCGCCTAGTAAATCAAACTACGGTATCCACCTCCCACATGCCTCTGAATTCCAGGGAAGCTTTGGCTCCCATCCAGATCTGAACTGTGCTGCCCAAGCCCATCTCTCTCAAATGACACTTTTGAAACTGTGAAGGACTTTGAGCCAACCCTTTCCAGAGGAAAATATTTTGCTCAACTGTGCACATCATGCTGAAATATGGAATACTGAAAAACTGAGTGCTAATATGAAACAAGTAGATCTAACAAAAATAAAGCATTTTGCAGCATATGTCTTAAATCTAAATAGAAACAGTAAGACAAATACAGAAAAAAGTCTTTAAATTTAACATGGTCTTCAACAGATACCATAAATGTAGTAGAGAATCACAAGTGAGAAAATACATCTAAAAGGAATGTGAGAAAAATACTTGATAAAGTTTCAGATCAGTAACTTACATCAGACAAAACACTTCTGCTAATCAATGAAGTCTATGGGGATGGAGCTGCATAGCTAATTTTTACTTAAATTTCTTGTAACAATAGATATCCACAGAATTTCCCCACAGAAAATTGCTGAAATATAAAGGTAATTTTTTAACATCTGTATCACATAGTGTCCTAAAAGAAGATTTCTACAATTTTTTTCATGTTACCTTTTTTTAATCGTGGTTATCATCTTGACTTCAGAAGAAAATGAAACGTGTCTAGCTTTAAGAATATATTTTGATCTATTTTGTAAAATATGTCCTAGAGGAATAAAATAGTGTAGCAATTTCTCAAATGTTTTCCTAGAGAAATCAGTTTACCCACACATATCAAAGTCTAAATGATTTTTTTTAAAAAATTCATAAGATATGATCCCAAAACTACACAGAATATTCTGCAAGCACAAAAGGACCAACAGCTGTCCTTTTATGAAGTTTGTGTTTTTTTCATATAGCTTAGACTTTGAGATTTACTTTGCTTTGTATTATAAAAATTTTGCAAGAGGTGTTTAAAGAGAAAACTTGTCTTCTTAATATTTTACAAAAATGTAAGAAGTATATCGCTAACCTGACGAGCGATGTCTCTTCTTTTGAGGAGTGCTTTTCCTACAGTAAAGCTACACTTATACAAAACATAGTAATTCATAATCACTCATCTTACATGTATAATGGCTGGCATATGACATTTAATATGGACCAGGTTTTTAAAAAATAAACAACTTCTAATCCTCCTATATTAAATAAAAAATAGAACTATATATAAAATATATATATGTGCATTTTATTTTTCGGCTTCAAAAATGCACACACCACTTGAACTGTTTTTAAAGTAAAACCACAATAAAATATTTTTCATATGTGCTGAAGCATCAGTTCTACAAAATAAGAAATATTACTGATGGTTTCAACAATTATTTTTTGTTTCTTGATGTTATCATTACAGTAAGTCTTGCAGTACTTACAACATAGATTTTAACATGCATGGAAATAGTTACCTCTCCACTAAGCTGACATAAAATATGCATCATGTTGTTACACCATCTGAAATCTGATATGTTGGATGCAAAATAAACTCCACTGGCAGATCAACAATCAATTTTAAGGCTTGAAATTAAACACAGATTCAGTTTAAAATGTGCCTCTCTTCCTATATGGTGTATAACATACATATCCACAAATTAAATGAAAATAAAACAGTATCAGTGTTACACTATCAGTAAAATATCTTCTGTGTAATGTCTGTATAATGCCTCTATTATGATACTCAGAGCTCACAAGTGAGAATTACAGAACTATAAACAATGTGTAGCAAAGGTTGTCTGTCTTTGCTTTTATTTTTGAGGTGTTTAACAGACCACTTTCATAATACAATAATGCACAGATTAATCTAGTTAAAACTTTTAATGTACATATACAAAGGCAGCTGTTTTAGATGATGATAAAACTGTATATATATTTGGTGTGTTAGTCCAATCTCACCGTCTGTAATGAGAGGAAGAAAAGAAAAAATCTATGAGCCCTTCCCCATAAAATTTTTCCATTACAGTAGGGCAGGATGTGGAGCCTGCCTTTATGTTCTTTCCACAACTGAAAAGGGCACTTCAGGA